TCACAAATATCATTCCTCAACATATTATATGTTATTATACATATACAAACACACACTTATATATATGTATGTGTACAGACACAAACATATGTCACCGTTGACTTTAGGAGAATTGTATTCTATTCTGAGCCTTCTCTGTTGTATGAATGAGTTCAGTCATATTTTAGTATAGTTATAGTTATATGAGTATCAATAGGGAGCATCACTAATAAATAATATTCTCTATAATAAATTATATTATATTAAATGTTACTAAATCTAACATGCTTGTGTTGTTCAGGACCTCTTTCTGCAGTGAAAGACTGGTAACACCTATCTGTAAGAGAGTAGGTGGACTGGTTGGTCCATCCATCCATCCATCTGCATCTTAATGTTATGCAGTGATGAAAAACAGCACACCCACGAGAAAATAAGTGCACATGAACCCACAGCAGCCAAACTATAATGGCTGAGATAAGGCAGTTTCTTATGAGGCACCAAGTTGTTGAACTGGAATTTCTAGAAGAAACACAGAAGAGTCAGTTGTCTAAACAACAACTAGACACTCTTTTGTACGTTTTTATCAGTGATATACCTGCACACTCTCAAACAAATGTTCAAAGGCTCTGGGAATGATACCCTTCTGAGAAGGTGGATCCAGAATCCCTTGCATGGTAAAGGATTTCCCACTGCCTGTCTGCCCATAGGCAAAAATGGTCCCATTATAGCCTTCTGTAACACCCTGAAAAAGAAAAGAAAAATCAATCAATCAATCTGAATAATTATAAACAATTTGAACTTGTATGTTTCTACCTCAGTATCTGTCCTGTCTTACTGGATCCTTTTTCTAGAAACCTAATCAGACATATACTTGCTTGACTAAATTATCCAAGAGTTTCAGCAGTCTCTTCTCATAGAGACAGAAATAGAATCTGTAACCGGAAATTGAGAGGCCAACATTCAGGTCCATTATCTAAGCATCTTTGGGCAGGTGCTTCAACAAAAACAAAGATGCAAGTTAATAGGGAAAGTATTCAGTGGCTTTCAGAAATATATCACTTAACTTCATGTAAATTCTGCAACTGACAGATTTTGAACAAGCAAATAGCATAGCTTGCTCAAACCTGGAAATAGCATTCTCATTATTCTCAACAAGATTGGCCAAAATTCTATATCGGAGTAAGAGATGAAAGAAAGTGTGAGGGAAAATAAACCTGATAATCTACTGGGGTAAAGAAGTAACATTTGCAGTCATGTTTCTATCTGGGAACAGAAATTAAAGGGAACTACATGTTTTTTTTTTCTTGGAGATGACTGGGTAAGAGTTGACTGAGTTTAGGAGTTTATGTGACACAATTTATCAGGGAAAGTCAGTTTAACCTCAAACAAGCCAGGGACCATTTTAATTGAAAACTCCAATCCACAGTTGATTGGTTACCCCATTCTTGGTGTTAGGGATAACATTGTTTTACCCTAACTGTTTTGGGTAAAGATAATAAAATGATGAATCATGGTTTGTCAGATAAAGTGTATGTGACTTTAAGCTAAAAGGAATGTAATTAAGGGTGCAGCTGTAAAAGTACTATATAAGCAGCAAGGCACTCTCTGGCTCTTACTGGCTGGCTTATTGAAGACTGCGTTCTTGCTGGATCGGGGAGGAGAAGAAGTGTTGGATTACTTTGAAGATATTTCTCAACGGAGAGAAGATAAGTTTTGGACAGATTTATTATATGTGTACTGACACTGGCTATTCGACACGGACTTTGCAATTAGAGTATCCTCGACAAGACTTGACTGAATTTGGTATTTGACTAATGGACTGTTTATAATGACTATGCTATAATTCTTAAATGGAATAAATTATAATTTTTGATAGCACAAGCGTATCTGTATTTTTACTGCGTGTTAACTAGAAAACTTATCTCATACATTTACCTGTCTTCCTATCTGACTTGGCTGTACATTCTGTTTAGTTTGTTTTCCTTAACACCCGTTGGGGAATCCAGGCTTAACACTTGGCATAGTCAAGTATATTGTGCAGAAGTAGACATACTGTCGCTTCTGAACCACACGTACAGATGTTGGGTGTTCTCAGCCAATTTTAACCATATTGATCCAATTTAAATTATATTAATCCAGCCACAATTTACCATGATCTGCCTATATTTGTAATATTTACGTACTGTAATTAATTTATTGACACCAATAACAGTTAATCACTTTCACTCACCTCTATCACTGGATAGGCAATTTCATTGTAGATCTGTTCCGTATTATGGTTCAGGTAATATGCCCCATCAAAAGTAAATTGTTTGGGAGGATCATCTTCAGCTGTAGGGTTCTGGATGAAGCACTGACCACGGGCACTGTCCATATTAATTACTACCTTGCAGCCAAGCTGTTTTTCACGTTCATTCAAAGGGCGGCAACGCACAATCACTTTCACTGCTTCTGAGGCCATGACCAAAACCATGAACTCTGGCTTGTTGTTGTTGTTTGTGTGTGTGTGTGTGTGTGTGTGTGTGTGTGTGTACACACTAGATCAAATTAATTCTAGAGCATGAAGTTCCTACTCACTTCTGTAGATATCAGGAGCAAAGTAACAAAAAAGGCAAGTTATAGGCAGCTATTGTATTCAGATATAACTGGCCTTGGAAACTGGCTCATTTTTCCTGGCAGCATAAGCATTAGAAAACAAATATTTCCTTATGGGTACAGTCAATGCAAACAGATGTGCCTGAACAAGATTGCAAAGGGCAATGAGTTTTCTAGAAAGAAGGGAGAACCACCAACATCAATTTAAAAAAAATGTCAGGGATGGAAAAAAAAAACCAGAGGCAATCTTGGGCCTGGGTGGTGGGGGGAATCTGAATGAAAGAGGCAGTTGATTTTCCTTGGTCTTGCTGAGAGAGAGGTAGTGATATGCTACAGCAGAGGGTTCCAGGTTTCCATCTCCCACTAGGCTGTGAGTTTGTACAGATTCTGGGAACAGTTTTCTATGGGACACACCTAGAAGCCACTTATGACCTCACAATACCTCCTACAGGTATAGAAGGCCAAGAGGTGAAAGGGAGGCATCCAGCAAATGATCTCTGCTTGTTTCATTCAATGCTTTGATGCTGTAGCAGTGAAAGGAATACTGGACCCCTCCACCACTCTGACTGCAGCTGATCCAAAAACAGGCTTTCAGGATCAGAAACCATATAGCTCTGCTGCCCTCACTCCCAAAGAGACCTCAATATTATTAGGGACTCTGAATTATTTCCTGAGTGGAAAGAGTACAGGGTTTCCACAGGGAAGCTGGCAAGAAATTAGGCACTTTTTCCTGATCAGTTTGACCCTAGAGATCACTAAGCACTGTGTCTCAGAAACAGGAACATGGGAAGATGCATTCAGTCAAACAATGGTCCCCTCAAGCCTGGTGCAATAGACCTAGCTCTTCCATCAACCGCTGCTCTTTGGCAGGATATCAAAGCAGGTGAAATGGCAGTGGAAAGAATAAAACTCCCTTCGGAGTGTCACCTTGGTAATCTGTTATCAGAAAGTGAATGGAGAGTGTGAGGCTCACACTAAGCTTTGGAGCGGTGTCAGAAAAATGGCATGAGCCAAACACACAAAAAGGAGCTGTGCTAAGACATGTTCCAGTATCAAAGAAGTGCCCGGAAAGGTATTTGTGTCTTGATTATGGGGCAGAGGGTTGGTGGCTGAAAAACCACTTTATTTGTATTGACCTGGGATGGATTGGGGGTGGGAGGGAAAGGGGGAAAGCAGAGACTACAACCTATTTATTATTTGAATGAAAAGGGGCAAAATGATGGATGGATGGGTGGGTGGATGGGGAAGCTGAGGAAAGTTTAGCAAGTGCAAGCAGGGTGGCATAAAGCAGAGATGCCCAGCGAAGTAGGAAGCACAGGAAAGCAATGCTCCCTTTCAAAAGCGGGCAGAGCTTGCCATGCCAAAAAAACAACAACACACAAACTGCTGGCGGGGGGTGGGGGTGGGGAGAGAAAATGGGGCAGTAGTGGAGGGTAACACCCAGGGCGCGGTCTCTGTCCCCGGACCTTCCTTCCGCGTGCCCGCCTCTCACCGTCCCTTCCAGGCGGGTCCTGGCTTGCCCGCCTGCACCCTCGCCCGGCGCCACCGACTTCCAGCTTCTATTTGCAGGCTGCGGGGTTGCTGACGGCAGCGTCCCTGTTGCCTAGGATACTAGGGAGTATCGCCCGGGGCTGCTCAGCTGGGCAACGGGCGGGGAATGTCGCGCAATGACTCTGCTGGTTCTTGGGGTGATAAAACAGAGTCTCCCGGAGCCAAATGCAAAGGCGCGTATTGTTAAGACTGTGGCAAAAGCGAGGAAAAGATTTGTGGCACTTTAAAGTTTCTCAGCATTATCACGACATAAACTTTCAAGGATCACATTGAGTTAGATGTTTGGAGTATAATCCTGAGACAGGAGAATATATATACCCAGAGTATGCTTTTCTACCCTCACAATCACAGGTTCACGCTTTGTTTCGTTCCCAAGCTTTGGCTGTTTGTAGTTGGTTTTTAAATGTAAAGGGATATCCACATGTTTAATGTACCCCTGATTAGAGCAAAAATAGACACATTCCTATTTTGTCACTAATTTATGACACTAGTGTCAACTTGTTCTCCAAAGATCCAGCAGAAGACAGACACACACAACAGACCACGCTGTTTCCATTTAGTGGCGTCTGGATTTTTGCAATCTAATTCTGACTGGTCTAATATGCGCTGCGGAGAAACCCGTCTGCGGGTCTAATCATGATCATCATCATCCCTTACATTTTCCACAGCACCTTTCTCTAACTTAATATAGGTGCTATAAAAATCCTCTGAGGCAGGGGAAAGAACATCATGGGACATCTACTGAGAATTCATCCGTCACTTATTAAGCTACGCAAGAGACCCGCCGGATGATTATTTTGGTAGCACACATTTCTCGATTGGCAACCGGAACTCCTCATCTGGGGAGGCGGAGAGAGTGGGGGGGAGGAAGTACTTCGGTGCACTAGAGACCGGAAGTGAGCGTGTCCCGCGTGGTTGCGGCGAGAGGGACCCCGAGGAGGGCGCGAGTGTTATGGGGAGACCCAGCAAAGTGAGGACCGGAGACGGGGGTGGAGGGTTCCTTGAAAGACTAGTTTGGGAGATGTTGAATTTGGGGCCAAGACCAGTTTTGGTGACGGGGGGCTTGAAAAGGGAGAAGGAATGTGCCTCGAGAGGCAGTGGAGCCCGGGATGGGTGCTGCGGCTGAATTGGTGAACGATAGGAGGACGAAACAAGATTCGAAGTCTTAATCGGGAAAGCCCGATTAGCGAGTGACGGAAGATTTAGAAAGCTCATTATTGGCCTGCGGCGAGATTGTTGTGATGCACCTATCTATGCCCAAGGAAATTACGAGGATGTGTCTTATTTTGTGAGAAACTAATAATTGTTCGTCCTTGATTAAAATCCGTGCTGATTATAAAGTTGCTCTGTATTAATAGAACCGTTTCACCTAGTATCTCCCCCCCCCCCAAACTGGCTTACTCTTCCTGAGTAATTCCAAACAAATGAACTGCAAAAATACTGTAAAATTGCTTCAATGGCCACCTTGGTTTTGAAATAGTTAACATTCCTTGCTGCTCTGGAGTTTCTAGGGGAATGTTCCATTATTGCAAATTTTAGATTGTTAAGAAGAAAGGAGGCTATGAGAAAGTAACCTGCAATAAGAAAGTAGATTTGGCATGGGCGGGGGGCGGGGGATATTTGTTCTGTGTATCTTGAACCCTACTAGTATTATTCTTCATTAAATTCATTTTTCCATTTCAGACTAAGAATCAAAAGAAGGAGCGAGCAGCTTCCCAGCATCGATCTCAGGAGGAATATGGTTCTGTGCCTCACTCCTTTGTGTTTCATCGTGGTCGCATTGGCAAGAATATACAGCAACTCATCCAAGATGTTCGGCGAGTGATGGAGCCCTATTCTGCTACCAGCCTCAAGGTGAAATTATTAAATGCCATGGAAGGCTACTGTGGTCCATGGAAATAATTGCTTTACAGGTAGTGTTTGCTTAACAACCACAATTGGGATTGGAATGTTGATAGTTGATATTGGGGTCATTTTCTAAATTCTATTTGAACAGTTGAAAATCTTTCCAATTACCTAGATTAATATGTTTATGAAAACAATCATGTTGTACAAAACGTTTTCACGCTTTATTCAAGTTAGTATTACTAGTGCTTACATTTTATTTTCAAAGCAGACTATAAAATGAGATGGGGACAGCAGTTAAAAGCATGAGAGGCTGTAAGCGGAAGAAGGAAAACAACTTGGCTAAATATTGTAACATCACAAAGGCAACTAGGCAGACCAATCTAATCTTTTTTAAAATCATTTTTGCAGTGCTATTTACTTCTGTTAATGAAGTAAAATTTAAATATATTTTATCCTAGATTTTGTCCCCAAAGCACACCTGATAGTGGAATGGCCCTAGTCACAACTGTGTCTTTTTTAGGTGCGGAAGAAGAATTCTCTGAAAGATTTTGTGACAATAGCTGGACCTCTGGGTGTGACTCATTTCCTGGTCTTCACAAAAAACCCCACCAGCATCAACCTTGTAAGTAATATCTTAAGGAAATTTTCTGTTTTAAGAACCTATGACCTTGGTTGTCTGTGCTAACTGGTCTAATTTGGAGCTCTGTTCAATTATATATTTTGGAGAGGATTTGGAGTATGACCTGCCACATAGGTTTAATTTTCATGCAGTACTGTTACATCTTCTTGCCACCCAATGTGAAGAGGAGATACACCTAGAAGATGGTCATCTCGCTGGTTGGTGTGGCAGATCAGCCCTGTTATATCTAGGTAAAATAGTAAAAATAGGAAAGCTTCACTGTCACTAATCATCTTCTTGAATCAATCAGGATAAAATTTTATAGCTTCTGATAAATGAGCAGGAAAAAGACCTTGGAGCTGTGGCAAATATGTACATGAGGATATATGCAACATTTGGGATTTTGTTTGCTTTTTTAAAAGGCAAATAAAAGGTGACTTGTGATAAAAAGAAATTGGTCCATATTTAATTAAACATACCAAATGCACACTATTTTATTATATTCGTCCATATATAACACAGCTAATGAGCAGAAGGTGGTATTCAGCAGGTTCTGACCAGTTCTGGAGAACCGGTAGCTGAAATTTTGAGTAGTTCAGAGAACCGGCAAATACCACCTTTGACTGGAGATTTTACACTATCCTTCCCTTGCCATGCCCACAGAGCCACACCCACAGAACCAGTAGTTAAAAAAAAAAAAATGAATCCCACCACTGCTAATGAGCAAATGATTTTGAAGTCACAAGTTACACTAGGTCTTCAGTCTATTAACTTGGGATGCTGCGCCAGCCACAACTTGAAGAACTGGTTGTAAATCCCCTTTTCAGCACTGTCATAACTTTGAAAAGTTGGTGAGAACTATCTGTAATATTAATACTGGAGGAAACGCTGATTATGGAGAAATATGAGAAGGAAGACTGCTCATTTTTGTGCTTTGGGCCTTCCTAAGACATTCAGATGGTAACCGTTGTGAAGAAATAAAACTGTTGGACCAAACAAATATTTAACAATCACTATTATATTGTTTAAAGGCTCCTGCTTCACAGTGGTTGAATGTTAAGTATGTTTCTTCCCTGAACAATTTTTAAATTTCTTTGCCCAGTGAATTATCTTAATTATGTCTGCTTATCAGGTGCAAATGATGACAATTGTCTTGCTGATTTAATTCTGTGATTCTTATTTCAAAGTAAACGCACTGATGCATCTGTATAAAGAATTGGAAATGAAGCAGAAGTAAGATCTATAAACTTTCGTGTTCGGGTCTGCTTTCAGTTGCGGAATCCTGCAATATTAGTATTTAGGAGTTAATACTTCTTCTTGATGATTTTTCTCTTAGAGACTCCTGCGCCTCCCTGGTGGACCAACACTGACCTTCAGAGTCACTCAGGTACCAGAGGGATTAAATTATCTGCAGTGGGATAGACTGGGTAGAATTAGAACTGTCTTTGGAATTTGTCACAGAAGGAGATGCTGTGTTTATTATTTTAATTGCTTGCGGTTCCTATGGATAGTATACAGAATTGTGGATGTATTCCCTGATATGTTTGTTGTGTGCTTGGGTGCAGAGTAGTTCTTATTCTTCATCCTCTTCTTCCTTTTGTAACATAATAATAGAAATTTAAAAGCTTTGTGTATTCATATAATTTATTTTGCATAATTTATTTTCTGTGTTATTCTGGCCACTGCTGGACATTGTCATTATTTGGTTTCTAAGATTTCACAGAAAGTAACATATATATTTTCAAACTCCCACTTACTAGCATGAAGAATATAGGCTTTATGTAGGTTGTTTTAAGTAAAAGCTGAGATCTGAGGCAGTCCTCGAAATGGTGACATCCCCTCTAAAAAGAATGTATGCCTCACTTGTCTATGTTGTTGTTTGCAACAGTATTCGCTCATCAAAGATGTTGTGTCATCTCTGAAACGGCATCGGATGCATGAACAGCAGTTTAACCATCCTCCTCTCCTAGTGCTGAACAACTTTGGCATTGAGGGCATGCACATCAAGGTTATGGCCACAATGTTCCAGAACATGTTTCCCTCCATCAATGTTCACAAAGTAAGTATATTCAAGCTTGGAGATTGGGAAGCTAAGTGGGTGACTAGTTTGCTGCTCAGATTCCTCTAGTCTGATTCCTGCCCTTGTGCTAACTTTGCTGCCTAAAAATTGAAGTGGGGGATAGAGCTAAATCTCATCCAGGAGGATCTCATCCCTCTAATAGGCATATAGCAATGGTAGATGAAACCTAAATTTTAGCATAATTATTTGATATACAATTCAACTTCTTGGGGATAATTTTGATCCAGATGCAAGTGATGATAGCGTATATTGGATGACAATTTTCTGTGATTTCCTTCCAAAGTAAACGCACTGATGCATCAACCTGTTATATCACCCATTTTCGCTCGATATATAGTTAACTTTGGATTGCAAATTTTATAAATGCAGAAATGGAAGAGAGTTATTTACTTTTGAATTTCCTTCCTCCCCCTCCTCCTTCCCCCTCCCCAAGTTAAATGTAGTCCCCCCTTTGAGTTGCACAGATATTATTCAAATATGTCTAGTGGCCATCTCTAACGGCAGAATGGAGAGAGGGGAAACATAGGATAAAACTAATTCCCACTGCCTGGGTTAAATACGGTTTTAGTCAACATGGAAATAAATTTGCTTTTTGAGAAGCTGGAGTTGGAAAGTATGGACATAAGATGCTCCAGAAACATTTTCAAAAATGTTTAGTGAAGAAAATAGGGATTTTTCTGAGTTTTCATTTATCTCTCCTCCCAGAAATTTTTAAATCAGTGATATTTTAGAATAGGATAAGAACTCTTGAGCTTGGAAATTCGATCATTAGCATCTAGTTTGAGTACTGGTAGTTGGCAGCTGGAAAAACTTAACCTCAGGTTGCTTTTCAAGAAAGGGCTTGAGCCTTAGTCTGAATCCTCAGTCTCACCCTGTGCCTTTCTTTTTCCCTACCTATCAGGTCAGTTTAAATACCATCAAACGCTGTGTCCTGGTCAATTACAATCCTGACACCCAGATAATGGAATTCCGTCACTAGTAAGTGGGTTTTGATTTCTGCCCCGTGCCACTCTTGTTTCTGATGGTTTGAAATAGGCTGCACGGGGATTCCTGATGTGAAATGTGTTGTATTCATATTCATTAATATGCTCACAATTCTACCGTGCAACATGAGTACACACTCAGGGAAAAGGGGGATTTGCAGGGTCTTCGGTACTTTTTTGGTAAGCTGGAAGCTGAGAGGAACCTATGTGTCCTTTGTTAGTTTCATGCTCGCTCGGGGTCCATGTCCCACACCAGCATTCCCTAACCTCGTTTCTCCAGATGAACTGGATTCCAGTCCCCATGGTCCTCAGCCAGCTGGGGGTAGGGGGGAGATAGATCAGTGTATTGGGGAAATGGAGGAAAGGCTTTCCTACTGTCCACAGTGGCTCTAACATGACTGCAGATTCCATTGCAGACACAAACAAGGTCCTGTCTAAGCTGGATGCAGGTGATGAGAGTATAGTCTGCTGATGTGCCTCTGATTTTATATTTCAGTAAATGCTCTGATGTGTCCAAGCCGATTAGAAATGGACTCTTTTTTAATGATGGGTGGGCGCAGTTTTTCTTTTTAATGAGCTCAGAAATATTTCCTCTTTTTATCATACAAACCCAGAATTCCCCTGTCAACAAAACAAAGAAGGAAAGTCATCAAAATATTGGTGTCTGAATTACTAACTAGTATCTGTTCCTTAACATTTAAGGCAGTTTGCTGAACAATATAAATAGTAAGTAAATGGGAGATTAAATACAAAACTCTATGCAAATTTTCAAGGAATCCTCTGATTAAGCGTCCTGACTATAAAAAACATTTAAGCAGTTATAGAAACAAAGCGAAGCGAACTCTTCAGACTATTTTACATCTGACAAAATAAGTATCTTTCCAAGCTTGTATCATTTTGTTTTGCAATTGTAAAGCACACAGTATCGATCTTGATCATCTTCTTAATGTTTAAATTGCTGGCATGTAATTCAAGAGGAATTGGGACCTGCAAAAACCAGGATAAAGCTAATATGTGAAAGGAAGATGTCTACCCAAATGAGAAATTACTCTCTCAGATGATCCAGTCTTCATTTTCTGAGCAGGTCTTTCATTTTACATTAACATCGAGAACCATATCAGTTAGAAAACTTAAACAACAGTGGGGTGAAGTCAGAGAGCTATATAGGTTTTGGGTTCTCCACTTATGGCTGAAGGGTCTCGTTTATTTCAGAGTTTGTGTAAAAATTGTTTCTTGTTAATATGAGGACAAGAATAGAACTTCCTGATGTGCTCTTGCCTTGCATAATGTTGGTAATTAAACCATTAATTTAATGCTGACTGCCTTTCCCGGCCTTATATACTAGATCTGTTGGATTGTAACTCCCAGAATTTCCAGATGGCATGGCTATTAATAACTGTAGAGCAACACATCTGAACATTCACATCAGTTTGGGGGGGAAGACTGATCTACTCTAATAATGGTTCTCATTTTCTTTGGCTAGAAGAATGGTCTTTCTCAGGTCTGATACCACGGAACCTTCACTTGGAGAGATACCAGGGCTACCTCTCCTTCCCCCCCCCCCCCCCCCCCCCCCCCCCCCCCCCCCGCCTCACCCCAACACAGTTGTAGTGAAATGTGGTTGTTTTTTTTTCCTGATGAAATCTGCTCATCTCTTGTATTTTGCAGCAGCCTGAAAGTAGTGCCAGTGGGCATGAGCAAAGGGTTGAAGAAGCTCCTGCAAGAGAAATTTCCTAACATGAGCCGCCTGGATGACATCAGTGAATTGTTGGTGAGGTGAGAAAGAGAAAGCCGTCTTCCTGTGTCTTTCATCTAGATTTTAGCTTCCTTTTGAATCCAGGGGGCAATTCAGCAAAGGTGTGAAGAAGGGGAGACCCGGTTTGAAGGCAGGGCTGGGGTTGTATATTTTACAGTATGTGCACTCATTTGGATATACGGTAAAATATCCTAACCCCCTGCCCCTCCCAACTCCAGTCAGTACCAGGCTCACTGGGGTTTGTACTTTAAAACAGTGGTTCCCAACCTTTTTTATGCCGCGGCCCAGTACCAGCATCAGCTGGGCGCCGCCATCTTGTTTTGATGAAAAAGTGCTTCCGGTGAGC